CAGTTACGAACCAGGGGCCAGATTCACAAAAGCAGTTACGCAAGTACTTACGAAAGTGTACATCTTTCCTCAATACTTGACGGCTTTGGTTACATTTATTAAACAGTTTACAAGCATGAAAACTTCCCAATCAGCTGTTGTTATTGTTATAATAACAATAACATTAATGTTGAGCTCATTAACATTTTGGCATTCTGGGCAAGAGAGTGCCATGCCACCCCAAGGTGGGCCTGGCATTCTACAGGAGTGTGTGGTAATACTAAAAAGTGTATAATCTTTTAAACTTTGTCATCTCAATTCTCATCCTAGGTTTTTCAATTTGGTATCAATGTGTTCGCAATAGAATTCTTTACAGGACTAAATGCATATAAAGCCCAAAAGCCTGGCATACCATCCACAACAGTGAAAGTAAGAGCATGTTATCCGGGAGCGTGCAAGAGCAATAAAATGTACATTTTTTTTCACTTTGGTCACCTCAAATCTCGTCCTAGGTCTATCATTTTGGTATCAATGTGTTCGCAATAGAATGCCCTACATGAGTACAGTGGAACCTTGGATTACGAATGTCCCTGTTTACGAGTTTTTCGGGTTACGAGACCAATTTGTTTGGAAAACTTGCATCGGGATACGAGCATTGCATCTAGTTACGAGTTTGTTGATACACGTATGGGCCAACCTAGCGAGTGGTGGCACGGTGATCGCACCTCAGTTTACCCGCAGACTATCCCGCCTGAATTCTTCACAAGGATTTACAGTTTTTGTCGGATTTTTGGCCATTTGAACATAAAAGTTGTTATTATATATCTCGCCATGGGTCCCAAAAAAGTCAGTGGTAAGGTTCAACCTAAGAAAATAGTTGAGAGTAGAGGCAGTAGAGGAGGTCCCTTCCTCATTACGAAAATGTGTGAAGTATGGGAAGAACTGCAAAGTTTTGTCAAAAAAGCATACCCAGATATAGCTGTAGCAGGCCATTGCATTGACCTTTTAAATGACAATGTGATGTCTCACTACAAAGTGTTAAAATGTAGGGAAAAACAAGTGTCTTTGGACAGATTCTATATAAGACAAGGAGTGAGCCACAACCAGGTCCTAGTGGTATTCCTACAAAATGTAGGAGAGAGTGTACCTTCATTAAAGTCATCACTGCCTTATGTTATAATGCAAGGTGACTCCCCTTCCAAACAGTAACACCTCTCCTCCCCCCTACCTCACAGTCTTTCATACGCCAACAAGTTATCAATAAAGGTAAGCTATAACTTGTGCATAATATAGTAAATAAATAAATATGTTTATTCAGGAAAGGTACATACATACAAGTGATGTTACATTAATGGATCGATATATAGATAGAGCTAGTACATACAATGCCTAAAGCCACTATTACGCAATGCATTTCGGGCAGGAAAAAATACAAAAAGTACAAAATATGTGTGTGTATTATGTATGAAATGTATTTTGAAGTTAATAATTTTGGGAGTGTAGAATGGATTAATTCAATTTACATTTTCTTATGGGAAAATTCGGTTCGAGTTACGAATATTTGAGTTACGACCCTTCTCTAGAACCAGATTAAATTCGTAAATGGAGGTACCACTGTACCTGAAATTTATCACTGTTAAACATCATGTTATTTTCTGCTGCCCAGTCAAAATCTTTATTAATATTTGCTTGTAGTTTTTCAATGTCTTCAACAGAGGTCATTTTCATGCTGATTTTTGTGTCATCTGCAAAGGATGATACGAAGCTGTGACTTGTATTTGAGTCTATATCTGATATGAGAATAAGGAAAAACAGTGGTGCAAAGACTGTATCCTGAGGTACAGAGCTTTTAACTGCGCTTGGACTTGATTTTATATGGTTGACTGTTACTCTCTTTTGTTCGACAGAAAACCGAGTATCCACCATCCTACTTTACCAGTTATTCCCATTACCCTCATTTTCAAGTGCCATCACTCCATGGTCACATTTATCGAATGCCTTTGTGAAATCCGTGTATACCACATCTGCATTCTGTTTTTCTTCTAATGCCTCAGTGACTTTGTCTTAATGGTCAAGTGAGAGGCAGTGTTGAGACAGTGTAGAGGCACCAGGCGTGTGGTAGAGGCAGAGTAGAAGCAGCAGGCATGTGGTAGAGGCAGTGTTGAGGCACCAGGCATGTGGTAGAGGCAGTGTTGAGGCACCAGGCATGTGGTAGAGGCAGTGTCGAGGCACCAGGCGTGTGGTAGAGGCAGTGTTGAGGCACCAGGTGTGTGGTAGAGGCAGAGTAGAAGCACCAAGCATGTGGTAGAGGCAGTGTTGAGGCACCAGGCGTGTGGTAGAGGCAGTGTTGAGGCACCAGGCGTGTGGTAGAGGCAGTGTTGAGGCACCAGGCGTGTGGTAGAGGCAGTGTAGAAGCACCAGGCGTGTGGTAGAGGCAGAGTAGAAGCACCAGGCATGTGGTAGAGGCAGAGTAGAAGCACCAGGCATGTGGTAGAGGCAGAGTAGAAGCACCAGGCATGTGGTAGAGGCAGAGTAGAAGCACCAGGCATGTGGTAGAGGCAGTGTTGAGGCACCAGGCGTGTGGTAGAGGCAGTGTTGAGGCACCAGGCGTGTGGTAGAGGCAGAGTAGAAGCACCAGGCGTGTGGTAGAGGCAGAGTAGAAGCACCAGGCATGTGGTAGAGGCAGTGTTGAGGCACCAGGCATGTGGTAGAGGCAGTGTAGAGGCACCAGGCGTGTGGTAGAGGCAGTGTAGAGGCACCAGGCGTGTGGTAGAGGCAGTGTTGAGGCACCAGACATGTGGTAGAGGCAGTGTTCAGGCACCAGGCGTGTGTGGTAGAGGCAGTGTTGAGGCACCAGGCATGTGGTAGAGGCAGTGTTGAGGCACCAGGCATGTGGCATGTGGTAGAGGCAGTGTTGAGGCACCAGGCGTGTGGTAGAGGCAGTCTAGAGGCACCAGGCATGTGGTAGAGGCAGTGTTGAGGCACCAGGCATGTGGCATGTGGTAGAGGCAGTGTTGAGGCACCAGGCGTGTGGTAGAGGCAGTCTAGAGGCACCAGGCATGTGGTAGAGGCAGTGTTGAGGCACCAGGCGTGTGGTAGAGGCAGTCTAGAGGCACCAGGTGTGTGGTAGAGGCAGTGTTGAGGCACCAGGCGTGTGGGAGAGGCAGTGTTGAGGCACCAGGCGTGTGGTAGAGGCAGTGTTGAGGCACCAGGCGTGTGGTAGAGGCAGTGTTGAGGTACCAGGCGTGTGGTAGAGGCAGTGTTGAGGCACCAGGCATGTGGGAGAGGCAGTGTAGAGGCACCAGGCGTTTGGGAGAGGCAGTGTTGAGGTACCAGGCATGTGGTAGAGGCACCAGGCGTGTGGTAGAGGCAGTGTTGAGGCACCAGGCATGTGGTAGAGGCAGTGTAGAGGCATCAGGCGTGTGGTAGAGGCAGTGTTGAGGCACCAGGCATGTGGGAGAGGCAGTGTAGAGGCACCAGGCGTGTGGTAGAGGCAGTGTTGAGGCACCAGGCGTGTGGTAGAGGCAGTGTTGAGGCACCAGGCGTGTGGTAGAGGCAGTGTTGAGGCACCAGGCGTGTGGTAGAGGCAGTGTTGAGGCACCAGGCGTGTGGTAGAGGCAGTGTTAGGCACCAGGCGTGTGGTAGAGGCAGTATAGAGGCACCAGCATGTGGTAGAGGCAGTGTTGAGGCACCAAGCGTGTGGTAGAGGCAGTGTTGAGGCACCAAGCGTGTGGTAGAGGCAGTGTTGAGGCATCAGGCGTGTGGTAGAGGCAGTGTTGAGGCATCAGGCGTGTGGTAGAGGCAGTGTTGAGGCATCAGGCGTGTGGTAGAGGCAGTACACCTTCACTACCTGCAGCTGCTCAAGTGTGAAGGCACCAGGCGTGTGGTAGAGGCACCAGGCGTGTGGTAGAGGCAGTACACCTTCACTACCTGCAGCTGCTCAAGTGTGAAGGCACCAGGCGTGCGGTAGAGGCAGTGTTAAGGCATCAGGCGTGTGGTAGAGGCAGTACACCTTCACTACCTGCAGCTGCTCAAGTGTGAAGGCACCAGGCGTGCGGTAGAGGCAGTGTTGAGGCATCAGGCGTGTGGTAGAGGCAGTACACCTTCACTACCTGCAGCTGCTCAAGTGTGAAGGCACCAGGCGTGCGGTAGAGGCAGTGTTGAGGCATCAGGCGTGTGGTAGAGGCAGTACACCTTCACTACCTGCAGCTGCTCAAGTGTGAAGGCACCAGGCGTGCGGTAGAGGCAGTGTTGAGGCATCAGGCGTGTGGTAGAGGCAGTACACCTTCACTACCTGCAGCTGCTCAAGTGTGAAGGCAGCAGGCGTGTGGTAGAGGCACCAGGCGTGTGGTAGAGGCACCAAGCGTGTTGTAGAGGCATCAGACGTGTGGTAGAGGCACCAGGCGTGTGGTAGAGGCACCAGGTGTGTGGTAGAGGCACCAGGCGTGTGGTAGAGGCACCAGGCGTGTGGTAGAGGCACCAGGCGTGTGGTAGAGGCACCAGGTGTGTGGTAGAGGCACCAGGTGTGTGGTAGAGGCACCAGGCGTGTGGTAGAGGCACCAGGCGTGTGGTAGAGGCACCAGGTGTGTGGTAGAGGCACCAGGCGTGTGGTAGAGGCACCAGGCGTGTGGTAGAGGCACCAAGTGTGTTGTAGATGCACCAGGCGTGTGGTAGAGGCACCAGGCGTGTGGTAGAGGCACCAGGCGTGTGGTAGAGGCATCAGGCGTGTGGTAGAGGCACCAGGCGTGTGGTAGAGGCACCAGGTGTGTGGTAGAGGCCCCAGGCGTGTGGAAGAGGCACCAGGTGTGTGGTAGAGGCACCAGGCGTGTGGTAGAGGCACCAGGTGTGTGGTAGAGGCACCAGGTGTGTGGTAGAGGCACCAGGTGTGTGGTAGAGGCACCAGGCGTGTGGTAGAGGCACCAGGCGTGTGGTAGAGGCACCAGGTGTGTGGTAGAGGCAGTGAGGAGGCACCACACCGAGACCTTATTTCAAATTGACCCTCATTTCCCCCCTCAACTCGCCTGCATTGACGGCATATATGACCTCGCCGAGGCCGTGAGCGGTGGAGAGGTAGGCCAGGAGGACGAGGAGGGAGTGGCAGCAGCAGCAGGTGGTGGAGGGGGCCATGGCAGCAGGAGCAGGGTGGAGGAGAAGCAGCAGCAGAGGCTCCACAGGTCTGTGTGTGTGGCTGTCAACACAGTGTCGTCTGCTGGCCGCCGCCGCCGCCGCCACGTTCCTTTACCCTCTCCTCCCTCCCCGCCTCCACCACCCTCCCAAGCCCTCTCTAACCTCAAAACCTTCCCCTCTCGTCAACCCCTGGTGTCTTATCGTCCCCCGTTATTAACCCCGGGTGTGTGGCCGCCATGAGGCCCCGGTGGTCGGGCTGGCTATACTCTAAAGGAATCTGGACACCACGCTGGCCCAGCTGATTGGCTGTAACCATATCACCCCAAATATCTCGCGGGTTTATTCATTAAATATATCCAGATATTGATCAATCTTATTGTTTCACTTGGGTAATTCATATTGTACATTTGGCCAAACAATATGATACATTTATATCGGTCTGTAGGTTATAGGTTTTGCCGGTAATAGCATGTGGGATGGCACTTGTTATCATCATTGATTATACGCTGATAGTGAATGACGGCTCCACGTGGCTCCCATGCCACTACATAATAAACATATCTTAATATGCAACTGCTTTAAATATTTATACATATTTACATATATATGTATAACTATTTAAAGCAATTGCATATACCGTAAAAATAAGATAATGTGTCTATTATGTAGTGGCATAGGAGCCATCATTCACTATCAGTGTATAATCATTGACGATTAGAGAATTACAATGACATTACAGAAGAAAAGACCTTGATCAAACTGGATTTTAAAAATCCTTTCAACCTGGTAAGAAGGGAAACAGTACTCCAAGCTGCCCATCGTTATTTCACTGCCCTCTACCCATTTGAACATTCTTCTTATTTACCTGAATTTACCTGAGGGCCACTAATACTAGTGGCCTCGATGAGGACAGGAAACCGGCAGCTTGTGAAAGGTCCCCCCATTTGCCCTGATGAGCTTTTCCAGCTGTATTTTAAAACCCAGCAGAGTTTGGATGTTTACAGTGTAGTGAGTAGATTATCCCAATAATATACTCGTTCCAAACGTATTAGCCTAATGAGAGAAGCAAAGCTCTTCTTAGTACTAATTATGGAACTCAAAGCTTTCCATACTTACAGTTAATATTCCTGCCAACCTTTGGAGCAGGGTGAGGTTGAACGGCCCGAGCATATAAGCAGCAGAGTAGCGAATAATAACCCACGGGAGACATCTCCCGTCACGCAGGGTGCAGTCGCACCTCCACAGATCTCCAGTATCATCTATTGATACTGGAAATGGCTCAAAAGGGCCACCACTTATGGGCTATTCATGCCCAAGCCACCTTTTGGGTGGCTTAATCTTCTCTCTCTCTCTCTCTCTGAATAATAACCCTCCCTTTCTGGAGGAGCCAATCTGCAAGTCCTTCGCACATACTATGTACAGGCAGTCAGATCAGTGATCGATTATGCCGCACCTGCACTCACAAATCTATCACACCAACAGTGGAAAAAGCTTGAAGTTGCCCAAAACAATGCTATGAGAGCTGCACTGGGAGCCCCCATGTGGACCAGGCTTGAAACTCTTAGACTGGAGACGGGTTTGCCCTCTCTACAAGAAAGAATATCACAAAGGACAGCTACAATTATCAGTAAGATAATTATTTCTTCTGATCCAATCCCAGTACGGCAGGCCTTGGTGGTTGGACTAGGCCAAAACAATGGAAACTCTTGGGTTGCAAGAACAGGAAAAGTCCTAAACAGACTACATTTAAAAAACATGATTCTTGATAGAGAGGGTGATCATCCACACCCAAATTACACTCCTTCCGCGCCGTGGGAAGAGCCTACTTTCAAAATAGTAATAGAAAGTCTCCCAATGAAAAAGGCTGCCTATGATCCGACAATCCTAAGGCGCATAATAGAAGAGCAAATGTATAGCATAGCAGTAGCAGGAGCCACCCACATCTTCACAGACGGATCGGTGGACACAGAATATGAGAGTGCTGGCGCTGCTCTTTGCACGACCAGCGTTCAGGCATATTGGAGACTGGGAGGACTAGTATCATCAACCCAAACTGAGCTGTTTGCCATACAACAGGCATTCGTATATGTGATTGCACAAAACACTCAAAATGCAATCATACACACAGACTCAAAAGCTGCACTTCAAATACTAGGACAAAAACAGTGGAAAGATAATGTGGAAATAATTACCACCATTTTGTATCAAGGAGCAGTCGCTATAGGCAAAGGACTCAACATAACTTTAAACTGGATCCCATCCCATATTGGAATCCCATTAAATGAAAAAGCTGATGAAATTGCTAAATTGGCAACTCGTCATCCAGTGATACATAAAACAATTCAACCCAGCCTAGAGAACATAAAAAACATCATCACCAAAAAACTCTCACATCTCAACAAAGCCGACCTACACCAGAGAATAGCTGAAGGTTCGCCATCTGCAACATGGTATCTTCAGGCAACCAAATTAGAAAGGTTAAATATCCCAAAAGGAATCCACAGGGAAATAGCAGTTAGGCTATATAGACTACGTCTAAGTTACAGATGCAACTGGGAGATTGGTGAACCCCGACAGAGAGAGTGCATCTTCTGCCAAACTGTCACAGAAAAGCCATTACTTCACTATCTTCTAGAATGTGAAGCAACCAATGACCTTAGAAGAGCTTTAAGAGTTCCTGAATCATGCAGTGGCCACTCTGAAGCCATCAACACAGCCACTCTCCTGGTCAACAAAGGTGTCCAGCAGCTGGACACCCTCATAAAGACTGTGAAGCAGTATCCTCCCCCACGATAACAGCTTGATGGTTAAATGCAACCTCAGAATACTGAAAAAAAAAATTGTACCATTTACGGGCTTTTCATGCCCGTGCCACCTCTTGGGTGGCTTAATTTTTATCAATCAATCAATCGAATAATAACCCACGGGAGACATCTCCCGTCACGCAGGGTGCAGCCGCACCTCCACAGATCTCCAGTATCATCTATTGATACTGGTAATGGCTCAAAAGGGCCACCACTTACGGGCTATTCATGCCCGTGCCACCTTTTGGGTGGCTTAATTTTCATCAATCAATCAATCTTAACACATTCCACGGGAGACATCTCGCGTCACGCAGGGTGCAGTCGCTCTATATTATATAGAGGTGCGCACCTATATATTCTCTTAGTGTTTGTGTTTATTGTCACCATACTTTACGAAACAATAAAACCGTTACATTGGTGACCCAGTGAGTGAAAAGAACACCTAGTCGCAAACTAAATCTTCGTCATGGATTTATCTACGAGGTTTCCAGTATACAACGCAGATGAACCAGAATTTTGGTTCATGCAGATGGAGGCTATTTTCGACCACCACGAAATTTCGACTGAGAAAGCCCGATATGCCTGTACCCTGCCAACACTTACCTCGGAGGCTATGCACACTGCCTCCGCTGTCATCACCGCACCATCACCAGACACCAGGACGTACACCGCACTGAAGGACGCTCTTCTACAGGCAGCGATGAAATGCCGCATTCAACAAAGGGATCAACTCCTCACTGACAAAAGATTAGCAGACAACATACCAGCCCTGCTTCCAACCCGTTCTCACACAAGACAGCACATATATGACTTAATGCTTAAAGTCAATATGTTGAATATGAATTAGTAAATATGTGATATATTCCCAGTTACTTTTTTTACCAAGGCCCAAACTCTTCCTCACGTACCAATTTACGTGTCACAGTACCCGTCCGTCAACATAGATAGCAGAATATTCGTGATTGGTTCAATTATAAGGACAATTGTAGTTTTCAGGTCCCACATGGGTTGTGAAATTTACCTACTATTGTCCATGCTCTTAGAATATTACAGATCAGCTACTTCCAATTGAAGGCTCGTAGTTTTGTTTTGAGAAATATTAGTTGTTCTTAGTAAATTATAATAAGCACTAAAAATTATTACATAGAATAACAGTCCTTCACCAATCAATATTATATACCATAGTTTGGTATAGTAGAGTTTGGTATATAGAAGAGTTTGGGCCTTGGTAAAAAAGGTAACTGGAAATATATCACATATGTACTAAATCATATTCAACATATTGACTTTAAGCATTAAGTCATATATGTGCTGTCTTGTGTGAGAACGGGTTGCCTGCTTCTGCGGCATTTTTAGTATGCAATGCATACTGCAACTGACCCGGCCCCCAGCGAGATTGTGAGAGCACTCTGGATACAACTCTGTCCAAAACACATTCAACCGGCCCTATTTAGTATGGCTGACGACACCCCATTAGCCCAGCTGGCTACACTGGCAGACCGGCTTCATATGACGTCTGAAAACGCTACGCTGTCCCACCTCAGTGATACACAGCAGACTACAGACACCCAACAACTCGACGTCCTCCAGAACCGGCGTTTCTTCCGCCCACGGAAGACGCACCTCGCGAATCCAGTATCAGGATCTAGGCGACAGCGAGAACATCGGGGAGAGCTTTGTTCTTACCACCAGAGGTTCGGACACCAAGCCCACAACCGTAGGGCTCCTTGTTCCTGGTCGGGAAACTACTTCGGCGGGGACTGTTAACGGTCAGTAACCCCGTCATTTCAAACACTACACTGCTCTACATATCTGATATCATAACCAAACGCCGTTTCCTCGTTGACACAGGTGCAGCAGCTAGTGTGTTGCCTTCCCACTGGTCAAACCAACCGCACTCCTGGTTTGGACTTACGTGCCGCCAATGGTACGTCCGTCCGTACATATGGGACCCGCGCCCTGGTTCTTGATTTCGCCTCTCTGGGTCGCTTTACGTGGACTTTCCTCATAGCGGATGTAGAACAACCCATTCTTGGATGGGATTTCCTGCAACACCATCGACTTATTGTGGATCCCGCAGGTGCAGTACTTCGAGCCTCTCCTAGTACCTCTACACAGGTTAACAGCGTCACCCCAGTCGCATCTACGGAATTTCAAGCACTCCTGGATGAAATCAAAGATGTGACCCAACCCGCCAGCCCTCGACCAGAGGTGCAGCATACGATTACGCATCACATTACTACAACGGGAGCACCTACCTTCGCCAGACCACGCCGCCTGGCACCGGA